TTAAATAAAAATAAAATAAAATAAAATAAAATAAAATAAAATAAAATAAAATAAAATAAAATAAAATAAAATAAAATAAAATAAAATAAAATAAAATAAAATAAAATAAAATAAAATAAAATAAAATAAAATAAAATAAAATAAAATAAAATAAAATAAAATAAAATAAAATAAAATAAAATAAAATAAAATAAAATAAAATAAAATAAAATAAAATAAAATAAAATAAAATAAAATAGGCAATGATTTCAGCTCAACAAAACTGTTTCGGCCAATACCTAAAATTCATTTTCAATTGCTGAAATTTTGTTGTCACTAATTTACTGTAGGACACATGAAGCATCACTTCCCGTCTTTATAGACCGAATCAAACACTAATGATCGTGCACACAGTGCGATAGAGTAAACGATGGCAGCATGTTGTTTTTGGTTTGGTTAGTGAGATGGTTTGATGGTCACAAGTTCAATCCCACAGTTCCCAGTTACAAACACAAACAGCAGGATGTCAGGAGGTCGCGGTACACTGATGAGACAGGAAACACCTGTCAATGTAGCGTCACCGACTGGACAATAACAGGCGGGATGGAAAATCCTGTCCATAATGCAGCACTACATCATATCTGTAGAGCAGAGGACTTTCCAACCGGATATGTATCACACTATCCTAAACTAACACAACCGTGACCTGGGACACTCAGCTTTAGGTTAAAGGGACAGTTCACAGTTCAAAATGTGCTGTTTATTTACTCACCATCAGCCCATCCAAAATGTAGATGATTTTTTCTTTAGTAGAACAGTGAAGAAGATTTTTAGCTGAAACTGTGCTCCTTGCTGATTCATTAGTCAATGGCTACCAGCACTTTGAGAGTCAAAAAAGCACATCAGGCAACACAGAATGAATCCCCGTGACTCCTGATGATATATTGAGGTCTTATGAAGCGAAACGATCAGTCTGTGCAAGAAGCTAAACATTATTTACTACATTATCACCTGTAATCCAGAACCTCAGGCAAACGGTCCAGAGTGATGTTCGGTTCACAAACGAATCATTCTTCTGAACCGGTTCTTTTTAGTGAGTTGAACCAGTTCACCAAATCAGACTGAAGCACCTGAAACAGTTCAGGGCTCGAGCAGCACAGATCTACAAGTTACTCAATCAAAACTTACTTTCAGACGCCTGACAGTCACTCCGACTGGAAATGAGCTGAAATAGCAGAGAATCTGATCCTATGATGAATGAATCATTCAATATTCCAGTTCCTCCAACAGTCACGGTGAGCTGATGAAGACTAGTTTATTCACTTTATATGCTTTAGACACATAAAACATCCACATTTCACTTCATTATTGGGTGCTTTAATAATATAATTGCGTATATGTTATGTCATTGTGTGATTACGTACATGAACTAGTGAATGAACCAGTTGCACTGGTTCTTGCACAGACTGATCGTTTCATTTCATAAGACCTCAATATATCATCAGGAGTCACGGGGATTCATTCTGTGTTGCCTGATGTGCTTTTTTGACTCTCAAAGTGCTGGTAGCCATTGACTAATGAATCAGCAAGGAGCACAGTTTCAGCTAAAAATCTTCTTCACTGTTCTACTAAAGAAAAAATCATCTACATTTTGGATGGGCTGATGGTGAGTAAATAAACAGCACATTTTGAACTGTGAACTGTCCCTTTAACCTAAAGCTGAGTGTCCCAGGTCACGGTTGTGTTAGTTTAGGATAGTGTGATACATATCCGGTTGGAAAGTCCTCTGCTCTACAGATATGATGTAGTGCTGCATTATGGACAGGATTTTCCATCCCGCCTGTTATTGTCCAGTCGGTGACGCTACATTGACAGGTGTTTCCTGTCTCATCAGTGTACCGCGACCTCCTGACATCCTGCTGTTTGTGTTTGTAACTGGGAACTGTGGGATTGAACTTGTGACCATCAAACCATCTCACTAACCAAACCAAAAACAACATGCTGCCAAATCTTCTTCACTGTTCTACTAAAGAAAAAATCATCTACATTTTGGATGGGCTGATGGTGAGTAAATTAACAGCACATTTTCATTTTAGGGTGAACTGTCCCTTTAACCTAAAGCTGAGTGTCCCAGGTCACGGTTGTGTTAGTTTAGGATAGTGTGATACATATCCGGTTGGAAAGTCCTCTGCTCTACAGATATGATGTAGTGCTGCATTATGGACAGGATTTTCCATCCCGCCTGTTATTGTCCAGTCGGTGACGCTACATTGACAGGTGTTTCCTGTCTCATCAGTGTACCGCGACCTCCTGACATCCTGCTGTTTGTGTTTGTAACTGGGAACTGTGGGATTGAACTTGTGACCATCAAACCATCTCACTAACCAAACCAAAAACAACATGCTGCCATCGTTTACTCTATCGCACTGTGTGCACGATCATTAGTGTTTGATTCGGTCTATAAAGACGGGAAGTGATGCTTCATGTGTCCTACAGTAAATTAGTGACAACAAAATTTCAGCAATTGAAAATGAATTTTAGGTATTGGCCGAAACAGTTTTGTTGAGCTGAAATCATTGCCTATTTTATTTTATTTTATTTTATTTTATTTTATTTTATTTTATTTTATTTTATTTTTTCACTAAACATTATTTGTAGCGCAACTTCTATCCAATAATCGCAATAAGCTTTATTGCTTTTGATATGAAACAAAGTTTGAGCTTTCAAATATTGTCAATTTTATAACAAAACTCAAACAATGTACAGTACAGTAAATGTTTGTGGTAAAAGCCGAGAATGACTCTGGTCATGTGATCTGTTGCAGGACTCGGAGTCGTTGGACCGCTGCATTCAGAGCGTGTTATCGGCTCTGTATCCTCCGTTCAGCGCGTCGGCGGCCACCGTCCTGTGGCAGCTCTTCAGTGTCGTGGAGAGACAGTACCGCGGAGACGGCCTGCACTGCTTCATTGACTTCCTGCTGCCCGCCAAGAGAATCCTGCAGATAATAAAACAGGAGGCCTGTGTGAGTACTGTCAGCTTCAGCAGACGCATTTTCACAGAAGCATTTCAATAAAAAGTCAATAAAAACAGTGGGCAATATCTGCTAATAGATCACATTATTTTTAATTTAGCAAATATATTATTATTTATAGTAAAATATATATTATATATAATATAATTATTCTACAATACTTTTTTTAATTTATTAATATATTAGTAAATGTTAAAACAGTAACAAAGGTTAATAAATGCTTTAGAAGTATTTAATTTATTTATTTACATTTATTAATTTAGCAGATGCTTTTATCCAAAGCAACTTATAAATGAGGAATACAACAAGCAATCCATGATGGAGGCAAATAACACAAGAAGTGCTCGTAATAAAGTTTCAGACATTGTGTAGCATAGTGCAAGCTAATATTTATTTATTTTTTAGTATATGAATGCAAATGTATTGTGCATAATGCAAATAAAAAACATATTATTCATTTATTTTCATTATGCATAATAAATTTACATGCATGTCCAAAATAAATAATATAATATAATATAATATAATAAAACACTGTTTTTATTATTTGACAAGCATGGAAATAAATAAATAAATGTTTTATGTGCATTATGTATGATACATTTACGTGCATATCCAAATAAATAAATATTTTTGTTTGTTTGTTTGTTTGTTTGATTGGTTGTTGTTTTTTTAATATATGTATGTAAGTATTTACATTATGCATAATATCCATGCTTGTTGAATAAAAACTATTAAAATTTATTTCTTTATTTGTTTGTTTATTTATTTATTTTGGGAACAGCATGGTAATTCATCATGCATCACGCTATCTTTAAACTCGATATTATGTATTGGTGGCCTGGTAATGCGGTTCACGCAGGTTTGCTGAATATTTTATTATTTTGTCTCTTCTTCAGATATTGTTGTTGAAATCCATAGCGCTGCAGCTAAACATGTTCAAGCCATTTAAAGTCTCCCAGAGAGAAATCTTGCGAGAGTGGGAACATGAGAGGAGGAGGAATACTTCAGGCTGAAAGAGGGTTCAGTATTGCTGTGATAAACAGCCCAAACAGAGCGTGTTGTGAGCTCACTGCAGTGAACTTGGCAAAGAGGATCAGGCTGAAATGAAAGACCTGCTCAGGGAGGCTTTGTATTTCTGCAGGTTAGCGCTGTGTGAGCACATAGCTGAAACCTTACGCTCCTGTATTCAGCGCTGCTGTTATTGCTCTGAGACGAGGGCTCTCAGCAGTCTCATTTAACTCAGGCGTGATCTTTGAGGGAGTCACAGCGTGCTGAAACTTACATGTTCCTGCTGCATCATCAGTATCATTATACAGCAGCGTCAGGGAGTCACTAACAACGCTACTAAATGAACTGTTTTTTTAGTAGCATTACAGTAGCTAAATAGCGAAGCTCTTTTTTGATGTACCATGATAAAATGCCTTTTTCACACTGTATAGCCTGTGCAGAAATCTCTCTCAAAAAAAATATTGTGCAGTCTGATTCATTGTAGTAGATTGGTCTGTTTGTTCACCACAAAATAAATAAATACATTTATTTATTTATTTATTTGCTGAATGATTTGAGTCCCTGCATGGAATTTTACATAATCTTTTTTAATTTTAATTTTAGTTTTTAGGTTTAGGTTTTAGTTTTCTCATTTTATTTGCTGATTTTAACAAAAATTACATTTTTTAAAAATAATTTTAATAATTTTAATTTTTATAATTTTAATTTTCTTTTTAATTTTGGTTAAAGTTTTAGTAATTTTGTTTTTGTAATTTTTTTTGTAATTCTGTTTATTTTAAATACGCCTATATGTATTATTTAAATACATTTTTATTTCAGTTTTAATTTTAGTACATCAAGTTGAGCTAAATGAAAATGAGAAATGAACGAGCTAAAATTAAAAAAAAAGTTTGTTTTTATTTTATTTTATTTCAGTTAACATTTATTTTATTCCAATTAACGAAAAAGATTTTTCTAATAATTTTAGGTTAATTTACTATAAACCCCCTGGTTCAAATGGTCAATTGCTGACACCCTAATTGAGAGCCTTTATGTTACTGTGCCAGTATGCTGCCTTTTTATGTTTTAGAATAGGTATCATTTTTGCAATTCTGTTGGGTGACTCAAAAATTACACATTTCACTTTAAAATATATATTTTACAATTGCATAATGTTTTAAATCATTGTATTTTTGTATCTTGAAATCTACTTCAAGACAGAAATAAATTAATGATTGCAAACTGCAAATAACTGCATATTGTTGCTTGTACCTGTACGAAAAGTGGCATTTTTATCTGATGAATTCATCCTTTTTATTTTCCACAGCTGCGATTCAAAGGCCTGTTGCTGTACCACGAGGGATGGCCACTGTGTTTGCATGAAAAGGTGGTTCTGCAACTTGCACCCCTGCATAAAGTACGTCTACGGCAGGGAGATTTCTACCTGCAGGTGGTTCCCTTAGGCCGCAAGGCTGCCAAACTGGTCATAAAATGCCTGTCAGGGAGCGGACAAGCCATCGCAGAGATCCCTGTGGCCGAGAGCATGTACGGCAGCGTGTTCACACCTGAGTTCCTGCAGAATGTAACGCATGAGCGCAACCTGCACCCTCTCCAGAACTGCCTCCTCAGTACCGGCGCTGTGGTTTACCGAACGCCCTGGAAGAACGTGGTCAATCCTTTGTTCGTGACCAGCACTGCCGACGCAATCATGCAGGCGCGGAGCAGCGGCGGGACCCTGCGGGGTCAGCTCAGCACCTGCAGCACCCACGGATCCACAGGAACGCTCAGTTCCCGAGACTCCTTGGGCGCTGAGTCCACCGTGTCCGAGCCAGTCCTCAGCGGGAGCCTCACGGATATGGGCATCAGCTCCCTGCACTCGGAGGATTCGCCCTTGCAAAAGAGTCCCAACTCCCTTCCCCAGACACCCACCTTGGGCAGCCCAGATCAGGGATGCATTCGAGGCGGAATCGGCAACAAAATCCTCTCGTTCAGCACAGACCTTAGCAATCCCGGCCTTCGCAAGAGGCATCCCAGAGACTCTGCGGCCTTCGAGTCGCGTCGGCTTTTCCGCAAGTCCTACATGGAGGCACTGCAGAACCCCATGAACCTCGGCTCCAGCTCAGAATCAATTCTGGAGGAAGGGACGGAATCTGAACCAGGAGCGCCTCACGGCTCCGTCACAAAGGATCCGATCCCTCGGAGAACCTGTGATCGTGGATGGCTGGGAGGAGATGAATCTCGCAACGGTTCTCCCGCTGTCCATCCATCCAAGAGCGCCGAGTTCAGTCTGGGTGAGAGACGCTCCAAATCTCTCGAACGTACCAACAAGGCCTTGCAGGTTAAAGGCCACCGGGCACGGTCGTCCTCCGGTGGATCCGGTAGCGGCCTTCCCAAGAAACTTATGAATGGTTATGCATTTCGTTTTGGAAAATTGGATTTGGAGGCGGCCTTTCCTGGCATCGAGAAACGGAGCAACAAAGAGAACTCAGGTAAAAACGCTTTGTCAACTCTTTTGAGGTTTGCCATTCCAGTGCCAAGGTCATGGGTTTGATTCCCAGGGAATGCATGAACTGATCAAATGCATACCTTGAATGCAATGTAAGTCTCAGGGGTGTCCAATCCTGCTGCTGGAGGCCCAACGTCCTACAGAGTTTAGCGCCAAACAGCTCGAACACACTTGTGTGGAAGTTTCTAGTGAGTCTGAAGTCCCTGATTAGTTGGTTCAGGTGTGTTTAATTAAGGTTGGAGCAAGACAGTGGCCCTCCAGGAGCAAGTTTGGGTACCGTTGCTGTACACAAAGAACATGGCAAAGCATCTTGTTTGGGATTTTTTCCCACCAAGAACTAGACCAGAACAAACTTCCCTTATCAAATCATGGCACTAGTAACACTAAGATCACGGTTTCGATTCCCAAGGAATGCATGAACTGATGAAATGCATACCTTTAAAATGTCACTTTGGATAAAAGCATTTGCCAAGTGCATAAATGTAAATGTCACCATATTGTACATCAGGGGTGTCCAATCCTGCACCTGCGGGGCAGTGGCCCTCCAGGAACAGGTTTTCACAACCCTGCTGTACATAAAAAAACATATCAAAGCATCTTGTTTGGGATTTTTTCCCACAAATAACAAGACCAGGACAAGTTTCCCTTAGCAAATCATGGCACTAGCAATGTCAAGATCATGGGTTTGATTCCCAGGGAATGCATGAACTGTTGAAATGCATACCTTCAATATAATTGAATCAGTTGATTTGCATGAATCATTTGAATGAATTGATTCACTGGAATGAATATGAATTTCCAATGCTATAATGTTGCAAACAAACTTTTTTTATCAGTTCATTTACACAAATCATCTGAATAAATTGATTCACTGGAATGATTCAGAATTTCCAATGCTTTAAAATGTCGCAAATAGACTTTTTTGAATCAGTTCATTTACATGAATCATCTGAATGAACTGATTCACTAGAACAAATCAGAATTTCCAATGCTACACATGAGTTTCTTGTCAGTTTTGCTGGGTTGTTGAGATGCATACCTTTAATATAAGTCACTTTGGATAATAGCCAAATTAATCAATATAAATGTTACCATACTGTACATCAGTAAACATGCTTTTATCCAAAGGGTTGGAGCTAAACTCTGCAGGACAGTGGCCCTCCAAGAACAGGTTTAAGAATGCGGCAGAGCATCTTGTTTGGGATTCTTTCCCACCAAGAACAAGACCAGAACAAGCTTCCTTTATCAAATCATGTCGCCCGAGGCCTTAAAGGGACAGTTCACCCAAAAATGAAAATTACCCCATGATTTACTCACCCTCAAGCCATCCTAGGTGTATATGACTTTCTTCTTTCAGACGAATATAATCTGAGTTATATTAAATAATGTCCAGGCTAATCCATGCTTTATAATGGGAGAGGATGGTAGCCCAAAATTTGTAGTCCAAAAAATTGCACCCATCCATTATAAAAGAAGTCCACAAGGCTCCGGGGGGTTAATAAAGGCCTTCTGAAGCGACGCGATGCATTTGTGTAAGAAAAATATCCATATTTACAACTTTATAAACCTTAATCTCTAGCTTCCGCTACGTATGCACGTTCATGAGAGAGTGGCGTCCAGTGGATGACGTAAGACGTAGGCAAACGCGGAAGTGACGAACGCAGAAGTGACGGCGAAACAAAACACCGGTCGCAAATTAGTAGTACAAAACGAGGATTTGTAAAGAAAAATGTCGGAGGATTTCGATATAATCCAAGAGGACACTGGTTTTCCTTTGCTGTAAACAAAACTTGTTTCTCGCGAGACTAGCATATTCTCACCGGAGTTTACGCTACACCTACTTCCTACGTCATCCGCTGGACGCCACTCTCTCGTGAACGCGTGTATGACAGTTAGCGGAAGCTAGAGATTAAGGTTTCATGGATTAGCCTGGACATTATTTAATATAACTCCGATTGTATTTGTCTGAAAGAAGAATGTCATATGCACCTAGGATGGCTTGAGGGTGAGTAAATCATGGGGTAATTTTCATTTTTGGGTGAACTGTCCCTTTAAGAGCCAGGTCTGGTTCCAGACAGTTGTGGTCCAGTGGGTAATTATCACTTGCAGCAAACTCTGGGACCATCAACGAGCTTAGATTTTCAGAAGAGACAGCTTGTCATTCCTCTGGCATGATTTTATGGCTTGCGACCGGCTGCATGTGAGGGCTAATAGCGTGTGTGTTTTGGAATGCTTCAGCGGCCCTGCCCTGTTATAGAGGGTGCTTGTCTTTCCGACGTGTTTGCTGTACCCCAAAGGCACGATACTGCACTGAATGTGTTGCCAGGGAGACTGCACTGTATATTTAGCTCTTCCTGCTATTGAGAGCTTGAAAGAGAGCGTTTTGCCCTCCGTCTGGCACTTCTGGCCAGGGGTGTGTGTGGGGTCTATCCGCAGGAAATTCCAAACTGTCCGCCATTCTTAAGATTTTGGGTTACTTTATCACGTGAAAGACTTGTATCACTAACACCGTGTCCTAACTGTGCACAACCAGATACATTTATGAGCAAAAACCCTGTCTTTTCATATTAATCCAGTTAGTTGATCCAGCTGTGCCAAGTGACATTATACTTTGTCAGTCACTTTATTTTCATTTTCATTGTATTCCGCTCCACTCACAATGAAATTTCATTGGTCCAAAATGATGCACTATATAGCTGTACATAAAAATAATATTAATATTAATAATATTAATAATAATGATTAGGAAAATCTTAGGATTAGGATAATTATTATTCCCA